GAGCCAGCTTTGCTGGAAACGAAGAAAGCCCTCCAGGGCTCACATAGCTAGGAAATCATGGCAAGGAAGCAACGTTATTATTAAGCATCGCAACAATGGCAGTAAACCAAAGCAATATTCAGTTTAACACCCACTTGAGAAGTGTTCAACTCAACGGTCATCAAAAAATTAGGTTCTCTCAGTTATGTATTCTCGAAGGCTTTCGCGGCCAGGATCTGAGGGCTGTTGTGGGTTTTTCGGGCTCTTTGGCCGTGTGCTGAAAGTTGTTCTTCCTGACATTTCGCCAGTCTCTGTGGCCAGCGTCTTCAGAGGACTGGGGTAGGAACTCTGTCCATGCTCTGTTGCTGTTTGTTGGATAGTTGAGTATTTATAACTGTGGGGACAGCTTTTGCCTTTTTTCAGGAGATAGGGTGATCAGCGTGTACTAAAGTACTGGACAACACCAGTAATCATTATGTTAGATTGCACAGGGAAGCCATTGAAATCCATAAACATCAACAGAACTTCAACAAAAAGGAAGAAGGCCTAAAACTAAACACGGACTGGCTCCCAATATTGAAAAATACATCCTGTAAAATGTCAACCAACTCTAGCAACGAACTCCAGCCACAAGGACCAGGGATCATTCAACAAAAAAGACCAGCTACCGACACCCATCAGTCACAGTGACAGATAATCTCTCCCCCCCTTATCAAAACAAAAACATGCTGATCACCCTATCTCCTGAAAAAAGATGCTATAAATACTCAACTATACAACAAACAGCAACAGAGCATGGACAGAGTTCCTACTCCAGTCCTCTGAAGATGCCAGCCACAGAGACTGGCAAAACCATCAGGAAGAACAACTTTCAGAACACGGCCAAAGAGCCCGAAAAACCCACAATAACCATCTTCTCCCAGTTACCGTATGTTATTCATTTTAAAGAACACAGACAGCTCCCATCGGCCTTTGCCCGCACAACCAAAGGAGGAAGAGGAGGGAAGATGCATTCCAACCACATCTAAATAAACCACACATTCTCCATCTTTATTTTAAAGGAATATGCTATCCCTGCCGGGATTCTTTCTGAGTGCCACTCTATATCAAACCAACTAACACCCAGTAGTGTTAGAAAGCCATGAAAATTAAACCAGTTTAAATCTGCAAGGAGAAAAGGCCCCCAGGTTTGTTCCTGGAGATGGGTCCCACTGAGCAGTAGACTAGGATAGACAGAAAGATTAAGTGTTGCAGCTGGGAGAGCGACAGTGGGAACATACCAGTCCTGACTATTGATGGCGTCTCCGTATCCCGGGGTATCTACTACAGTGAGGCGGAGTTTCACCCCTCGCTCTTCTATCTCTACGGTAGAAGCTTCAATCTGGACGGTTCTTTCTATTTTTTCTGCAACAGGAAGATCAGAGATGTCAAGATTTTCTAATTATTTGTGTGAGCTACCAGCACAAATAAAAGTGTCTTATAGGTTTTGGGTATGGGCTGAGTTAACAGAATCTGACCGGTGATATCGTGAAATAAGATGCTGCAGTGGGAAGTGCTCTGGATGCTCTGCTCCATACGGCGCCTTGGTTCATTTCCCATTTTTCAACTCAACCCAGATATTCAATCAGCAGACCATGCCCTCTCTCCCTATGGATACCCCTAGCTAGTCTCACTCTTAAGCTTTCTTCTCTAATATACACATTGCTGCAAAGTGTAACGTATTTTTGAAAAAGAGAAAACGTAAGAGTGAGACGTCCCCATAACGGATCTGCCCGGCTATCGACTCTAGAGGACCAAATGAAACAGAATGGACGAAAGCCCAAACAGTGCTATCATGTCATTTATAGTGGCTGTTTCATTGATGGTTTTATGATGGTTTTCAGCGACCACATGTGTCTCAGTCTGCAATAAAAGTGGGAGGATAGTTCAGAAGTTGCCTTTGGTGTCCAGAACATGGCATGTGGTTCCTTGGAATCCAGCCCACAGAATACTTAACTGTAGATCATAAAAAGCACCAGTTTTTTTTTCTTTTTTGTCTCATCAGTCCCTACTGTTAGGGAGATATATGCCAAGCCATGTGATTCACTGAGCAACAGCCAGCACTTATACTTTCTTCTTAATTTAGAGAAATTCACCAACAGGATTTACACCAACCACATAAATCCTGTTGAGTGTTCATGCATTTAAAGGTTCCCCTTGACAATTTGTCCACTTGTGTCTGACTCTAGGGGGTGGTGCTCATCCCCGTTTCCAACCCGTAGAGCTAGCGTTTGTCCAAAGACAATCTTCTGTGGTCACGTGGCCAGCGCGACTAGACATAGAACGCCGTTACCTTCCCACCATAGTGGTACCTATTTATCTACTTGCATTTTGCATGCTTTCGAACCTCTAGGTTGGCAGGAGCTGGGACAAGTGACTGGGGCTCAATCCGTTGCGTGGATTTGATCTTACGATTGCTGGTCTTCTGACCTTGCAGCACAGAGGCTTCTGCGGTTTAAGCCGCAGCGCCACCACGTCCCATGCTTTACTTCAACATAAAGACTCAACAGGATTCGGTTTCAAAATGGACACCAGGTAAATAAAATGGCTTCCCGTTGTTTTCTGGGATGGATTCCTTGCAAGACAGCCACCGAAAATGGCTGCCCTATGGAGGCTCTTCACTGGACGGTGAGTTTCCAGCCCACTGGAACGCATTGAAGGGGTTTCAATGCATTTCAATGGGCTTTTTATTTTCGCATTACGACGTTTTCATTCTATAGCGATTTCGCTGGGACGAATTAACGTCGTAATGCAAGGCACCACTGTACTTGCATTTTGCATGCTTTCGAACCTCTAGGTTGGCAGGAGCTGGGACAAGTGACTGGGGCTCAATCCGTTGGGTGGATTTGATCTTACGACTGCAGGTCTTCTGACCTTGTAGCACAGAGGCTTCTCCGGTTTAACCCGCAGCCCCACCACTTCCCATGCTTTACTTCAACATAAAGACTCAACAGGATTTTAGCAGAAGCCTCATATCAGTAGAATAGAGGAATAAAGGCAGTCTTCCCAAAACTTGTGCTCTTCGGTATAGAGCAGAGCTGATTGTCGTTCAACACATCTGGACATCATCACATAGAGGAAGGGGGCAATCAAAAGAATCAATGCACATGAAATCAGAACCTGGGTCATCCAAGAACAGGCCAGTTTACCTGCCGCTCCAGGAACGTAACGTTCAGGATACAGATCAGTCAGGAACAAACTGTTAATTAACGTAGATTTTCCCAAGCCAGATTCACCTGTGAAGAAGATAGTTGTTTAATCACCAGCATAATCTCTCTCCCCACCTTTCTCGTGAGTCATAGGTTTGTCACACAGTTCAAAAAATATATATTTCTGCCAGGATCCACCCTGGGTCGTAGAAGAATGACATCAAAGGCTTTGCTAAACTAGACTAAAACAAACAGGAAAAATAAGTTTGCACAGAATGTATTATATAAATTCTAAATTTAATCTACCATTTTCACGATGCAACCCAGAAGGTCAAATTAAGGGCTCTAGTCAAACGCCTATGAAATAAAAACAATGACAACACTATTAAGTCCTACAATCGTTTGATTGACTGTTATCTTTAAGAACAGACATGCTCACCCATCAGGCGACAATCGTAAAAATGTTCGGGGGGGGGCACAAAATCTTCTGTAGCAAAAAAACCACACACTCAAAAACAAACCACAGTCTTGTGGTTTCTTGAAAATTCAGAGATTGAGCAAATCCCTCTTATTTAAATTTATGCCTGTGGAAGTCGAAAGACAGTATCATGTGGCAGCAGTACATTTTAATTTAAATAAAGGCTTCTGATCTCCCACCCACCCTCTGCTTTCATTCTAAAGCTCCCTTTTTTCCCTGGGGGAAACCTTTGGGAGCTTCTGGATGGGGTGGGGAAAGCTGTTAACGGTAAGAAATCAGCGGCAAATTGCTACTTCCCCGATCAAATCTGTCCTTCCGTTATAGCTAACATGTTAATGGTACCTTCTGCAGCATACAGTTTCATCGTACAGGTTGATCAGAGTCAGTCCTGAAATTTCTGTGCTTACTAAATGTCATTCCTTTGTGAGCCATATACAATACAGACATCCCTTTCTCAGAATTATGAGCTTGCGGAGATGGCTTATTCCTGTTTTCTTTTGTTTTTTCACTGACAGCAGTGGGCACAGGAGAATTTTGTAATCCCAAATCTATGAGAAGTCAGGGGGGGAACCTTCTAAAATTTTCATCCCTCCCCAGCTCCCACGGAAACTCTGCCACGTATCTAAACAAACTCTGCTTGAATAAACATTGCTTTAAAGTATAACAGAGAGAGAGGCTCCAATAACAAGGAAGTGAATCCATTATTTCCAATCCTGAGTGATCCAGGATTCTGAACTACTACAGTACTGGCCTCATTAGCACTGACTACTAGCCATCGTGGCTAGCAATGACAGATGATGGATTCCTGCATCATCAGGACAGTCAAGGTTTAGAAGCACTGGAGAGGGCCAACGTCTAGAAAAAGGTGTGTGGCAAAATGCTTGCCCTGATTAAATTTCAGGAAAGTTGTGCTTTTTAAGAAATAAATATTCTTGCTGTAGTTTTAGAAGGGGCAGCTGTGTTAGTCTGTGCTAGCATATCAAGCAAAAAGAAAAGAAAAAGAACAAATAAAGAAAACAAAGACATTGTGTCAAATTAAAGACTTCTGTCTTCAAGCTGACATCAAAATACAACAGTTAGTCTTTAAGGTGCCACAATGTTTTTGTCTTCTGTATTTTTTTTCTTTTTCTTTTGCCTGATATACTAAATTTCAGTTGTCTGCACTGTGTCCCTTTTCCTACATAAGACAGGGCCAAACAAATCAAAAGAATGAAACTGACAGTGTTGACACATACAGTGTATGTTCACAAAAGACATACACTAAGAAGAGATACATATTTGATCACCAGTCATTGTTTAATTGCGACCAACATGACTTTGACCCAACTCTGGGAGGCAGTGGAAGACAGGAGGGCCTGGTGTGCTCTGGTCCATGGGGTCACAAAGAGTCGGACACAACTAAATGACCAAACAACAACATTGTTTAATAAAGAAGTAAAGAGGGGAGAGACACCTACCAACCACCATGAGGGTGAACTCAAAGCCCTTCTTGACGGACTTCCTGTGAACCTGGTTAGGGAGATTGGCAAAGCCAACATATCCCGCAGAGTCTGAAAACTGTAACGGGAAACCAGTAAAGACAGTTCACAAAATGAGAATGAAATCTGTCGAAACAGAAGCACGCCAGTTATTATGAATGCACACTATTTAAAAGTACTTTAAAAGAGGAAAAACAGAACAAAACCTTAGAACAAAAAAGGAGAGAATTACTCTGCATATTTGAGAAACATTCTGTAGAAGAATGATTCATTCTTCCTCTTTCCTTTCTGAGTCTTACACAAAAGTGAAAGAAGGGATGTACATTTTGTCCCGAGATTAGGAGAAATTAATCTCACTATGGAAACTCAGAACAAAACCTTAGAACAAAAAAAAGAGAGAGAATTACTCTGCATGTTTGAGAGACATTCTGTAGAAGAATGATTCATTCTTCCTCTTTCCTTTCTGAGTCTTACACAAAAGTGAAAGAAGGGATGTACATTTTGTCCCGAGATTAGGAGAAATTAATCTCACTATGGAAACTACACACATCCCCCTCTATGGCGAAAAAAACATAGCTTTATCTATACTTCTTCTCTACCACCTCTTGAAAAGATCTGAAGTTGCACATTCTTTCACCAAAAAGGTGCTGGAGAGGGCAAATATTTTACGCATGAGAGATGTTGATTTGCTGCGACCAAAACCACAAACAGACTTGCGACTTTTAAATATGAAGAGCTGCGATACAACCAACAAGGTAAAAGGTAAAGGTTCCCCTTGACAATTTGTCCAGTCGTGTCCGGCTCTAGGGTGTGGTGCTCATCTCCGTTATCAACCCGTAGAGCTAGCGTTTTGTCCGAAGACAATCTTCCGTGGTCACGTGGCCAGTGCGACTAGACACGGAACGCCGTAACTTTCCCACCGCAGTGGTACCTATTTAACTACTTGTATTTGCATGCTTTTGAACTGTTTGGTTGGTGGGAGCTGGGACAATCTACGGGAGCTCACTCCGTCGCGTGGATTCGATCTTACGACTACAGGTCTTCTGACCTTGCAGCACAGAGGCTTCTGCGGTTTAACCCGCAGCGCCACCACGTCCCACTCCAACCAACAAGAGCTGAGGTCAAATCAAGCTTGCTAGTCTTTCTTGATGCCACAAGACTCTCGGTTGTTTTCCGTAACAATGATGCAGAGTAAAGAACACCCCATCCACAGGAACTTGAGCATCAGTGAGGAACTGTCAACTCCCTTGGTGTGATACAGTTGAGCTCATGCAAAACAAGTAGACATAACACCCAAGGAAAGCTGAACAGTCATTACTGGATGCCTGGAGTCAACCCCTATTGATAACATCAGCAGACACTGAACCACTAGAGAAGTAGCCGCTAAGAGCGACAGACTCCAAGCCTCCACTCCAAATGCACAAGCAACTCTTGGGCTACCATCCCAGCCAACCCCCAACTTAAAATCAAGAAAACGCTTTTTTCAAAGCCTCTGTGAAACTCCAAGGCAGAGAATGGCAAGACTCTGATATAGAAAGAAAGAACTACCCAGCTCTTAAAACGGATAAAACCCCAGGAAAAGCTAGCCACACAGAGAACCAGAAAACAATGGTTACTGGATTTGGAACAAGCCAACATATTAACCTGGATTTGGAACAAGCCAACATCTAGCCACACAGAGAACCAGAAAACAATGGTTACTGGATTTGGAACAAGCCAACATATTAAGCCTTTCCTGGGATAAAACCCCAGGAAAAGCTAACCACACAGAGAACCAGAAAACAATGGTTACCGGATTTGGAACAAGCCAACATATTAAACCAGAAAGCAATGGTTACTGGATTTGGAACAAGCCAACATATTAAGCCAACTTTCAAAAGCCCTGATCACAGTTTTCTGGCTCGGATGTGATGGTTAACTACATTCTCTGGTGACTTCTCACTGATGTTAAAGCCGGAGCAAATCAGTAAGATATGAAAGCCCGAGTCTTTTATAGCTTGGCTTGTTAAGCAAGTTGCAATCACTCCGATGCAATCATTCTCTAAAATAAATTGAAAGAGGTCCCAGCTTCCCTGCATTATAGAGCTGATGTCAAAGCAGCCGACAGACAGGGAGATTGATTCTGAACTACATAATCCCTAGGAAAACAACGAAGCTGAAATCCGAATTGTTAGCACATACCTCTTGACAAATTCATACCGTTGACCCCAGTGTAACTTACCTTTACTTTTTCACCGGACTGCGACATGCTCTTGCACCCCAAATGTCAGCACCTGGGGGGAAAACATGGACAACATGTTAGGCATTAAATGACAAAACTGAGAATCCATCCTCCCACTCTTACTGCTATAGCATAGAGAGACTAATGTTTGGACACCCTCTCTGACCTCTAGCTAAGGGAATACTGTATACATTCTAATTGCATTTGTTTCTGGAACAAAAATAAGATCAGGCAATAATCATTTCTCATTTATATCACTCTCTTCATCCAGAGAAGCCAAAACAGAGCAGATTGGAGTAATCTTATTTTATTCTCATTCGCTCGCTTGCTCTGTCTGTGTCTGTCTCCCTCTCCCCCTCCTTCACCCACAGAAACGTACAGGGAAAATCATGATTGTAGCTATACAAAGAGCCCTTTCATTCCTACCTTCAAAAAAAGAGGCGCAAACTAAGAGATCTTCCACCAGTTATAATTTCTTACCTGTCCAAATCAGAACTCTATGGTTAACAAGACATCATATTAAGGCAGTTCCAAACTATAGCATCCCTTTCTGACTTGTTCTGAAACTGTTAACCACGGTTTCCTGACTCATACAAGCCAAGAAACTATAGTTAGTGGGAATCCTCTTATTTCACCCAAACAAAGGGAAAAGGAAAGTGTCTTTAGGTGGCAAAAATATTCATGATTAAAGCAAAGATATTACTGCCAAAATGCAAAATCTCTCAGTTGTGTGACTCTTTATTATAAAGTACATGCTCCCGTAATTTAGAACAGTGGCTCCCAATCTTGGGTCCCAAGATGATTTTGGACTACAACTCCCAGAAGCCTTCAATGCTAGGTGGGCTGGCCAGGATTTCTGGGAGTTGTAGTTCATCTACAAGGTTGGGAGCCACTGGTTTAGAAGGCATTTCCTGAGATATACTATCACCCTAGTGGTTGAGAAACTCATACAAAGGACATGGCTGGAGATGGGATGCTGACTAGGTGGACAATACACACTCCCTCACATACAATGAACTGAAATCTGCCCACAAAATGACAATTACTGAGCAGATAGATAAACACTGAGAAGAGACTCATTTCCCTCCTAGACACCACACAATCTAATCTAAGATGAAGTTTCTCAACATATGGAACAAAGCCACAAGGGCAGTTTGTTTATTTATCTATTTATTTATTTATCTATTTATTTATCTATCTATTTATTTATTTATTGTATTTATACCCCGCCTATCTAGTCATTTCGACCACTCTAGGCGGCTTACAACATATATGCATAAACAGCTTTCCTTGTGAAACTTACAGTCTTGTGGGATAAAATGTGAGACGATGGTATGGCACTCTGGTTGTAATTGATGACAATTCCATACCATTTCAGTTTGGTGGAGAAAGTATGCTGTATTATTTGAGAGCCTCTTTTGCCAACACATTTAAATCTGTGGTTGGTAACAGTAAAAATTAGTGCTTTTTGTTTTTGAGATCATAGTAAATATTCTGAACTATTCATGTTCTTGAGATGCACAAGGGAGCACCATAGTTTATCATTTATTTATTTACAATATTTTAAAGATTCATTTCAGGATACATTGCTCTTATGTCCCGGACAGCAGTGGCTACTGTGCACGAATTTCCTCTTGTCCCTCCCCACAATCAGGAGAAACAGAAGGAAGAATATAGCAGCTGAAGTTATACAAATGCCAGGGATGGGGGCTTGAGTCACAGGAATTACTCTCAAGTTCAACATAATTCGCACCAGTGACTTGACCTGGGGGAAGTTTCAATGACTCCAACCTGACTCGCAATTTAAAAAACCATCCTTTTTTTCTGTGGGGAAAAACTTGTTTTTCATCGGGACTCCGACTTGGGGTTTGTGACTCAGGACTTTGTACCAAAGACTCGGACCCAAAACTTCGTCAGCATCCCTGGACACGACACTCCAGTCACGTACAAAATTCACAGAATTCAACCGACTTCAGTGGGGAGTTTTTAAACAGAAAGAAGAGCCATTTTTAGATAGACTCCTTGTGCCTCTGAATCTCACTGGTGTATCTGTAAGCATACACAAGGAGGTGCCCAGGTCTATGTGAATATGAAAAAACCCTGCTCCTTTATTCAGAACATCTGCAGGAACCAAGAAAGAAAGAAGGAAGAAATGTCATCACAGGGCTTCTTGGCAAGTACGCTTCTTGGCCTGAATGGGAGGAAATGACCTACAGAGAGACACCTGCGATTTCCGGATACAGATGCTTCCCTGCCGCTTACCAAGAAACGCCATCGCTGGCAGGATGCAGGCCGAAGCAAGAACAAAAAGCAAATGGTCAGCTAAATCTTTGCACTGGAGAAAACGAAGACATAAATCCTGCCGTTGACAGAGCCCATAACTCATGGTCTGAGGAAGGGGGTATTCTACAGCTTTTTTCGCCATTATCTCCTAGGACGGATATGTAGGGGGTGGAGCGAGAGAGTAAAAGACTTTCTATAACTCTACTGTGTATTTCCCAAGTTTTTGCCCATTCTTTATAGTTCCTCAGAATCCTTTTTCAGCAGCAGCTGAAGCCTTCCATGCAGCAGAACCAGGATCTGACCACAAATTTGCCTGCTGTTGATGCCCATCAGAAGGGATCAATGGTTCACCCGGGGAAACAAACTGCTCTAAACTACTAAGTTTGTGCCCATCTCTAGTTGTGAGTGAGACGGTAGCAAAACGAAATGCAAAAAAAAGGACACTTGTATTATTAATACAGTGGTGCCTCACATTACGAGCGCCCCGTTTTACGACAAAATCACGTTACGTTGAAGGCTTTGCGATCGCTTTTGCGAACGATGTTTCCTATGGGGGAATTTCGCTTTGAGATGATCAGTTCCCTGCTTCGGGAACCGATTCTCGCAAAGCGATGATTTTCGGCCAGCTGATCGGCAGTTTCAAAATGGCTGCCGGGTAAAAAACATGGCTCCCCGCTCTTTTCTGGGACGGATTCCTCGCTGCACAGGCAGCGAAAATGGCCGCGCTATGGAGGATCTTCACTGGACAGTGAGTTTCAAGCCCCTAGGAACACATTAATCGGGTTTTAATGCGTTTCTATGGGCTTTTTAATTTTGCATTACGTTTTCGTTCTACAGCGGTTTCGCTGGAATGAATTAACGTCGTAATGCGAGGCACCACTGTACAGAGAAACATCTAAGCAATAAGTAAAGTGGTTAACACACAACATGCGCCAGCTATCAGATACAAGCATCTGCTCAGGTGGTCCAAGAGATATCAGGCAGATACCTGGCTCGAACCTTTATCTCACTACCCAGAAATAATTTCCATTGTGTTCGTTGGCACCTATGTTCTTACAAAACGTTTTTCTTTCGCTGCTTTAATCAGCTAGCACAAGATTGCAGCTTTAACAAAGTCGGAATACAGCGGGAGCAAAAATAAGATTTCAGGATGTGCCAAGGGCTACCAGGGCAAAGAAATATCACAGCTGTTTCCTTGGCAAAACTGAATAACCAATGGTTTCTATATTTTCCATGTGACATACACCCCCCCATCTCCCAACAAATTACACCCCAGAAAAGTAAAAATAATACACACAAAGCTACTTTAACTTTTACCAGAGTTTAGAAAAGTTACTTTTTCTGTGTATGCCGACTAAAGAATTTGGGGAACTGTAGTTTGCAAAGGTAAGTATCGAAAGCTGTGCTGCATTCAGAAACATGTCTGCAGATACCTTCTGGATGGGTGAGAAAAACAAAAATATTTTAAGATAGAAACAGCAGATGTGAAGTCTTTATTATTAAAGTTTGTTGTTTCTTATTGCCTTGCAGCTGATATTGGGCATGTGTCTTTACAATTATTTGCCCAATTAAACCGATTTAGACTAAAAAATAAAGGTTAAATGTATTTTTTTTAAAAAAAAAATCAATTGTATTGCTATATTGATCAACGCTGCAGCCCAAGGCACAGCATAACGTCAACGGTTATGTTTTACGGAGGGCTTGCTCCTCTACGCACACGCCAAGCACCGATGCAGCTGTACAAACACAGCTTTCAGTAGCCCTTGGACTAAATCCCAGACTTATTTTTCCTGGAGGTCAGCTGATAATCAAATCAGCTCCAAGCAAGCACTGACATGCAATCAAATTGTAACACAGACCAACACCTCACTTCACTTGTATGCCAGATATCCAGTGCCCGTCCTCTTCATCTCCACAACCACATGTTTAGCAGATAATGGTTTAATCTATGCTTGTCAGCACCATATTGGTAACCTTAAGTCTGCCTTGCGTTGAAGACCAGACAAGTTACCTGCCTGGAAGGAATTACCCGTATTTTGCGCTCCATAAGACACACCGCTCCATAAGACGCACCAAATTTTTAGCAGAAGAAAACAGGGAAAAATAATCTGTTTTCTTCGCTCCATAAGACGCACAGACTTTCCACCCCCCTGTTTTGTGGGGGAAAAGTGTGTCGTATAGTGCGAAAAATACGGTATATTTGCTTCCCAAAAAGCTAAGAGGGAGGAAATTTCCTTTTGTTAAGTGATCAGCTAAAGGAGCAACTGATTTCCTTAAACCCACCAGCAGCTCTATCGTTGGTCTCCAGCTTGCTTTCATCTGTGGCCAGCGCAGAAACCAAGAGGCAGAGGACAATCATCTGTCCACGTTCAACCCAATCATTTGCCTAGATAGGTCCCGTGCATTCGCCTGCACAAAATGACTTGTCACTCATGGCGATGAGGAAATAGTTAAATAAAAGGTAACTTTGCATGCTCTTACACACACCCCTTCTTCCCTCCCGATTACCCTATCAAGAAATCTGATTTTTTATCCTATTCTCCCGCAAAAGAGTTCCAGCTGATGTTATGTAGTTCTTTTCCTTACCTTTTCAACAATTCCCTGATTCACACTACAAAGAATTGCACTGACCTGTTCTAGATCACTGGTTCTTAACCTTGGGTTACTCAGGAGTTTTGGACTGCAACTCCCAGAAGCCTTCACCACCAACTGTGCTGGCTGGGGTTTCTGGGAGTTGCAGTTCAAAAGCATCCGAGTAACAAAGGTTAA